GTTTCGGTTTTTTGTTTACCTCAGTAAACACCAATTGTTTTTCCAGGTAAACAACAGCAGAAGCATCGCGCAAAGATCATTCTATCTTAGAATATGAATCTTCTGAAGACGATTAACACATCCGGATGGAAATCAAAAGTGAGCACTTGATGTCTGAGCAATCGTTTCTTTCGTCGTTTCTTCCTACTATTTCCGACCCATAGGAAGTGGCTTCTGTAGAACTGCCGATTTTTATGATCCTTGTTTATCCACATTAGATTAGATTGCGACATTGCGTTTATCGACTATCATTGAAGAAACTGCGCTGATCGTGACAAAGCACAGTTAGAGCCATGGAACAGGTTCTCTGCACTCATTCATTCATCATTCATGTTTAGCCCTTCAAGGATCGCTATGAGTGATGACTAGCAATTGCTTCCGTAGGCACAAATTCATCCTAAGTGCTCTCCTTTTTCAGCGTCTGGATATCTCTGAAGAGTATCGAAGCACTTATCATTCCTATCACAAAAAATTGTCTGCTTACATCTGAATTTCAAGTAACGAAATCCGCGGAAGAAACTTTTCAGTGATGGTCGAAACGTATAAAACTTATCCTAGACGCTGATTCAGTTATCACTTTTGGCGGGGAATGGCATGCTTGGAATCAGAAGCAGTTGGAAGGGATAGCGCCCAAGCTAAGTGACTTCGTAGTGATAAAACTCTAATGACGTAAAATCGACCTTGATTCGTAGATAATGGAGTACATCTTTATGAAAAACCTAATGCCATTGCTGGAATGGCTTCAAAGTATTATAATTTATACTAAATAACCTGAGATGACCAGAACGAAAAACTACAAAGTAATTTATACCAGACTAGCTGGCTTACCCGGCTCCGCCGTATCCGGACCAAACTTGGCACACATACACTTCGGGCCCCGGCGGGTGTCACAGTCCACTTTTCGTTATCGATCGATGTCGATTTTACCGATTTTTATCGATTTTTTTGCAGAATTCACCTACAGGGCTAGGAGTTGGCACAGGGGGGGGGGGGGAAGTTGCATGGGGATTCCGAATACAATATTAGTTTCCAGAATTATCGATTACTTTTATTGATCTTATCGATTTTTTGTAAATTTTGACATGCGATGCTGGGATTTTGCACAGGGGATAATCGAGCATGCTGATTACGAACACAATATTAGTTTTCAGGATCGTCCATTACTTTTATCGGTTTTATCGATTTTTTTGTAAAGTTTGACCTGCGGGGCTGGGAGTTTGCACGGGGGGGTAATCGAGCATGCAGATTACGAATACAATATTAGTTTTCAAGATCATCCATTACTTTTACCGATTTTATCGATTTTTTGAAAATTCGAGCTAGGGGGCTGGAATTTGGCACAGGGGTGTAATAGCATGCTGATCACCCCCCTTGGGGATGATCAGCATGCTCGATTACCCCCCTGTGCCAACTCCCATCCCCCTAGCTCAAACTTTGCAAAAAATCGATAAAATCGATAAAAGTAATCGATAATCCCGAAAACCAATATTGTATTCGGAATCTCCATGCTCGGTTACCCCCCTATGCGAACTCCCAGCCCCGTAGCCCAAACTTTGCAAAAAAATCGATAAAATCGATAAAAGTAATCGATAATCCTGAAAACCAATATTGTATTCGGAATCCCCATGCTCGATTACCCCCCTGTGCCAACTCCCAGCCCCGTAGGTGAACTCAGCAAAAAAATCGATAAAAATCGATAAAATCGATATCGATCGATGACGAAAAGTAGCCTATGACACCCGCCGGGGCTCGAAGTGCATGTGTGCTAAGTTTGGTCCGGATCGGTTCAGAAATGGAATTTTCTATTCGGAACATACGTACACACAGACATACAGACAGACAGACAGACAGACATTCAGCTTTATATATAAGATAAGACATACAACAAAAGGTTAGGTTATTTTAAATCGTGTTTGCCATTCGTTTACTTATTTTTTCGATCAAACTTCAGTGGAAGAGAATATTAAGAAACAACATGATTAAAGTAAGAAGAACCTAAAGAGCCGCGCATACATCACGCGATTTCATCGTTTTGCGATTTTCCAAACAAGACAGAAGTTACGCGTCCATTGCATACTGGTCACCTTGCATCTCGGTTGTGCTAATTATTCAAGATTAGTCGTGTCCGAAAATATCAAAACCGAAATGCAAAATGATTGACATACAATGAACTTGTAACTGTTGTCTGTTGGAAGAATCGCGAGGCGATGAAATCGCGTGAACTCTGCCCGAAGCGTAAAACCTAAAAACCAGAGCATTTCTAACTATACATTACTGCACACCACTGGCGTACCCGAGATTTTTGTTCGGGGAGGGGGGGAGGGAAGAAATTTTTTTTGGATGAAGGTGCGTGGCTAACACCGCGCACACCGAAAAAAAATTTTGAGACGCTTTCCGATTTTTCCGAGCCCATAACTCTAAATTCCAGAAAAAAGGGGCGTGCCAGCCACGCGCCCGAAAATTTTTTTACAAAGCTATCTTAAATTGACTTAAAAATTATTTCAATTATTTACAAGTAAAACCAAGCCATTTGCACATTTTCATTACACACGTAAGTTACTTTCAAAAATTTCGAGACCCATTCTCACGGGGGAGGCCCCTTCCCGCCCCCCCCCCGGTACGCCACTGCTGCACACAAATCATGCAATAAGAGAAAAAATAATTTCACTTGTTTTTCTAATTTCGTCTCTTTCCTCGAACGGAATTTTGAGGCATAGACCATTCCCGGGACTCTTCAGCAAGGAGAGAGGGTCTAGTTTAATTTCCAAAAGATTTTTGGAAATTCTTTTGTAAATTAAATACATCTATATAAATATAATTATTCGGAAGCGAGTTTGCCCGCAGCGTTCGGTGACCCTGCGACATTCCAATGATGCCATGAAACCTCGCGAATCACGCAAATCGTCGCAGCGCATTGCTCAACCCGTTGACAATGACGCCTAATTTTGCATGGTGACGCTGTGGGACGACGCGATTTTGCACAACACTTTCGGCGTGGGAAAGTTTTGTGATTATTTGCGAAATGTAAAGTTGTTTTGTAAACAACTATTCACCTTCTTGGACTACAAATTCTACAGGTTTCAAGAGTGCAGAAAATTGGAAAAAAATACTGTGTAGAAAAAAGACTAGGAAAGAATATGATTTTGCAAGGGGTGTGGGCCACCGGTGGTCCACATCGTTCCTGGCAGCAAAAAGTGCGTGGGCCACTCGTTTTCCACATCGTCGTGTTAAAAATGCAGGGCATCCGAAACAGACATCGTGCTCAGTGCATCATTGCAAACTTCCTGATCTACCGCGTTCCGTAGTACCCCTTTGGCAATGGCATGACCCAAATTTTCCACACAAACTCTAGTTGAACAAAAAAACATCGAGCAACTATGAGCCTTTCTTTATAGGTTTTTTGCTGTCCCTTTCCTAATTCTAGAGGGTACAACCCGGTTTTCCTCTCTTTTCTTCGTACTAGTGATTCGCAAATCTGCGCAGAATTTGCTTAGCATTGTCCTTTGCAACAGTGAGATGAGATATCCTATGTCAGCCGAATTTTTTCTCTCTTTCGCAACTACGTGAAAACCGGCAAATGTGCTTGCATTTGTGCGTGATGCGTCAATTGACGCGGCAGCAATAGATCTTATGGAAAGCTCCTTACACTGTGATCACACGGGGTCAAAAACTACTGCTACGAACAACAGGCGCCCTTGCCCGGGATTAAACCCCACTCTCGCGAGAAATAAAACAGGCGCCCAGATACCTCGTGCCGTATCACTCGGACCACCCATCCCGTGGTACTCTCGCTTCATTGCTTGCTCTGAGAGGCTCAGTCTCAGGTCGCATTGCTTGGCTGCTCCAGATCTTGGACAGTTCTCTTGGACTTCATAATCTTGTTATATCCCTACTTTGCTTTGAAATATTTCGTAGAAAAAAATTTCAAAACTAGAACAGTATTCTTAAATTTTGTTCCTCCTTGACCATTAAATATTGGAAAAGATTTGTGAGTCAATCAAAGTCTGACAAAGTACTATTTCATCGCGCATGTTTCACATTTCTTTGCATTTCAGTAACGCAAAGCATGTGCTAAAATGCAGTCGTGGAAGGTCGTTTCCGCGTGTCACTAATTCCCTTCTTGATAGTTGGGGTTCCACATTAGCGTTAAGGGTGAGAAACAAAACATTCCTAAAGTCTAGCTCCAAACATTAGAACAGCCTTGATCTTATACGAAGAGTGCAAACGAAAACGAAAAAAAGAGATGGAGAACGAGAGCATTCTCCATTTACAACTGAATTGAGTGTAGGTGAGGGGACTCACATTTGTTTTACAGCTCTCCAAATCCAGAAATTTTCCTTTTTGATTATCTAAGCGCAATCATCATTACTGAAGCGCGCTTTTGTAAATTGCTTCTCGAGAAAGTGAGAAAATTAGAATGATTTGCTAACAAATTGCTGCAACCACCAGCACCTTCATTCAGATAACGGCGTCCTAAACCTTGGGCATACTTCACTCGTGGCAGAAAATGTACAAAAGATAGGGTATTTCATTAATCAACGAAAGTTGTACAAACTATGCGTTTAAAGTCTGCAAATTTTGCGTTCAAAGACATTTGGCAAACTTCAAATCGCGTCGCGATTAGAATCGAAGTATGTCCGAGTTCTTAGAGCTAGTTCTCAGAATTTTGAAGTTATCTACCAGGCTACACTACTCAAGTAGGGGCTATCGTTGCTGTGAATGAACAACTACAGAACCTGAGGGTACTGTCCAGACAAGTCTAAGGACCCGATTTCTTAGTTGAATACTGATAGAGAAGTTAGATTCTTGACCAAGCGGCAGCGCATATCTTCATTCGTGGCCGAAAAATTCGCTGTGAACTCCAACCCAACGATCCCCAGCGAACCAGTCACAGTCCTTGCAGGAAGTGCGGTCTGAAATGAAGTTTATGGTTAAAACTCTTTGCCATAAATGATTTGATAATGAAAACTGTCCCCTGGGCAATGGTCTCCCGATCATGTCTGGTGATGACCACGTGGGTATTACTTTCAGTGATTTTTGTTACAACATAAACCATCCTGAAGAGGTTTTTCTTCGACAAAATAGACTGAAAACACTAATGCTGTTAATTATAAACCAGTTGGAAATTGTCTTCAATGTTCACTATGAAAAATTTTTTTTGAGAGAAAGTTATTGGCTCTTTTTGCTTTGCGTGCTCATTTTTGTTTATTACGTCAAGAATCAATTCAAGGCATCTTGTGCTGTATAAAGTGCCTTATGAACGTTGTGGGATCCACCTTGTTAACATTTTCCAAGCAGTCTCGTACTGTTTGGGGTATGTTGTCGTCCACAAGCCACATTTCATCCTCACAAGGATGACGCCCGTCCGCGCTTGGCAAAGAGCCCATAACTTTTTTCAGGCGAAGCTCCTTAACTATGGAACTCATATTCGGTACGAGCGTTCAGAATTCTGCCCAACAGAACGTATCAGATCCCGAATCGCCTTCTCGGGTAAGTAATCTCATCCTTGGTGGGGTGGTTTTCAGATTAGACGGTATAGTGGCGCTCGAGCTAGCCAAGTATCTCACTGGAGTGGAATCACCCTTTCCGTGTGCTGAATCTATAAAAACGAAGCCATCTTTCACTAAGTGGTCATCTTTAATTCGGTTGTTTGTCTACGTAATTACTACGGGCCACAAATGCCCATTTTCGCTTTTTGCAAACAAAGAAACGATTGCAGAGGGACTTCTGCGCAAGAATGATTCCGTGCAAAAGATTTTGAGTCAGGCTAATCCTACGCTTTAAGTAGTCATAAAAAAGGTAGAGGAAAATTGCAAATACATAGAGGAGTGAGATTCCAGAATCTTCTCTTTGCTGTAGGATCGAGGCGTTTCATACACTTTATAAAGTAAATAAACTTGTTGAAACTCTTTTGCAAACTAAAATTTCAACTTTCTCACTAAAGACAGATACGGATTTGTACATGGTCGTCTCTTCTTACCCCTCAGCCGGAATGATATCACGAATGAAGGAGGGGTTGAGCTATCAGAGAAATTGCTTGTGGAACCATATGCATTCATTTCTATCTTTACCACTGCAGTAGAAGGTGGGTGTGATCATAGCAGTAAGATACGCTATTTTTCACTTGGGCCCCACACAGTGGGCAGAAAGCTTGAGTTTTTCCCTGTCGGACATGACAGTGATCTGTCTTTGCTACTTCTGCAAGAAAAGAATTGCAGAAAAAACATCGCAGCGCATCTGTGGTTGCTGCAGTATTGCATGGAAAAAATGTTCAACATCGACTGAGAGAATTCTCAAAAGTTTTTATGGGGTAGGTTCAAGAGTACACCAAAACTCATAGGTTCTCTCTTTAGTGCACGTTTTGCAACTCCGCTTTTCGAAGATTGCTCACTTTACAACATTTCGCAATAAACCGTCGCGTGTCGGTTTTTTTTCTATAACGTTTCAGGTTACCAACTATTGTTTTTCATGAGTTCGAGCCAGAGTTGACAATTTCGCCATCTCTAGAACATGACAGATTGAGTTCTACCATATAAACTTTACGATAAAGATTTTCTAAAAATGGCAAACTCCGCCAGCAATTTTCATCAAGTCATCCGAACGCTTCACGCAGGGTTATCTATCTCGCCCTCTAGATCAGGAAAACTGTCAAATCGGTTAGAACGGCTAGACAGTCATGCATGGCAAGCAATAATCCCAGACATCATCGATAGTCGGCCGCGTTGTTATCATTCGACAAGGCTGTCTCCTACATTCCTGCTAGTGGGAGATATAAACTAGACATCAGCGGTAGTGCAACAGGGTAGCTCCCCTCCCCCCCCCCCCCCCCGAAAGCACTTCGCAATTTTTTTCTTAGATTGGTTATGTGTGTAAACTTAAACTGACTCGTTGCTCTTGAACTGACTCGGTCCTTGTGAGTGATAATTGAAGGCAGCGTCCAAGCAAAATTTATGCTACTTTGATTAGCATCTAGCCTAAAAGCAGGCCTAAGTGGAGGGGCATCGTGTTGCTCCGGCCCTTCAGTGTGACCTCTTAATGGAGAAAATGGACCTGAAACCCGCGACAGTGTTAGCAAGCCACGCCCACCCGATCAGGCCTCCCCCATTCAAAGACTGCAAGTCCCTCATGCTTTTAGGAAATCATTTCCGAAAATCGCGTTTTTTCTGGGATCTGCACATTTTGGACTTCATGACTATAATCAGGGCCACAAGGGCCCAGAATGGCAAAAACATGGAAGCGTGATTTTGTGTTGGCGCTGTCTATAGTAGTGTACGTATGTAACACTAATGTCATGATATTCATGATTTATTGTGCTGCAGTTCAGAAAAGAATCTTTCCCCTAAATCATCACCAGCGAAGAAGAATCACACCTTCGCGGCCTCCCAGTTTCTGACATTTTATATGGGAAGAGAGGCAAGTCAGAAGTAGCATCTTTTACCGAGACTCGATAGCAGAACTAATTGTTCGCAGCCTGTAATCAGTTACGGTTAGTACCAAAACGGCAGCAAAGGAAAAATAATAAAAATCTCACTTGATTGCAGTAAAGCAGGGTCATACCTAATTTCAAATTTGTTATGTGTAGCTGCTCTAGGTCTTTTCGAGATAAGAAAAATACTTCTCATAAGATATAAAAATCTAATTTAATGGAATCCAAAGGAAATTAGAAAGGAGTCTGCCCGCACGAAATGAAGCAGATTTTTTTGAACTGCACAAGCTTTTACGGGATGTTTGTAGCACTCTGGTTAATCTCACACATACTTTTATCCTTTGCTTCTGCAAATATCTGAAATCCGCATTTTCAGAAAGAATTTGTTGTAAGCAATGACACCGCTGATTTCGTTACACTTTTTTTAACGTAAAGATAATCTGCGGCCATAGCCACAGTTTATCATACCCGGTTTTCTTACATCTTCTTCAAGGGCGAAACCACAAGCTTTCTGCATCTATTTTTCCCATATCACTGTGTGGGGGCTAAGAAACTGTGGTCATCGCTCATTATAAGTACAGTAATTAATCAAAGTAACATGAGTTCTTTTCTTGCCAATATCATTCGAATTAATAGCGGGATCTTTCAAGGGCATGTAGTAATGTAGTCGTTGTACGATTTGTGGAACCAAAATCAAAAACTAGGGTTGTTTTTCCTTCTGCAAATGTACATAATTGATGTAAATGATACACTACCGCATGCAGATAAAATGAAATTGGTACTAAAATGGAGAGGGGAAGCGAAATGTGGAACTTTGAAAGAAAATTCAGTTACCACTCATTAGATTTTCTAAGGAGTTTACGAGAATGTAATTTATCGCTATTGAACTCGGCACAAATTTCGAAAAATCTCGCTCTAACGCCAAAGCTAATTTTGAAAGCGTTGTATATATATGCTAGTGATATCTATTTACAAGCAACTGCTGTTCCGCCCCTCTCGATTCATCCAAATTGTATTTTTTTTGTTTTCGCTAGACCTTATGTGAGCTTATCGATACAATCACGACAATAAAATACGATCATTCTGCGGGATTTGCGGGATTTGCGCAATTGGCACCATTTTGGCGTCAAACGTATACGCCCTATGCCTCTGTGTCCCCACTGATTACGGTCATATTGTATACTATAAGATTCAGCTCACTGCCTGAGTGAATGCTTGCAGACCTCAAACATTTCTTTATCTTATCCACTACAAAAACATGATCAAATTCCCAAATTTCGCGAATCTCGTCACTTGCGAGATTGTCATCACTGCACAGTAATAGATTCAACGCCACGCATCTTGCACTTGGAAGAGAATTTTCAGAGAAAAATCGCTCTTTCGAAAAAAATCTTGTAATTTTTCCACTAATTGTTTTCCTGGGTGCATCGATTGTTTTCAGAAGGAAACAAGTTGGCAAACCTGTGCAATGAAGAAAAGTCACGAAGTCATCTGCAAAATAGGCACTTTAGTAATTCCAAAGTCATTCACACAATGTTTGCCCCAGACTACATTCAGTCGTGTTGATTTCGGGAGCTCACGTTGTGTCCTCGAATAACGTTTTTTCTAAATCAAAACCTCATAGTTCACCCGTTTTTCTCTCTTTCTTTCGCTCATCACAATTTGAAAAGTTAATGTGAACAAACGTGAACAGTAGTCACAATTTTTGCTGTGATCCTTTTCAAAAGTGAACTCTGTTCTTCGGCATCTATTTTATTAGAGTACACGCTTATCATAGCTTCACTCTGCTACAATTCACTTCAACAGCTGTACCTGTTGCGAAATTTTTTCTACTGTCTCTTTCTAGAAAAACTCGTGCAGAACGGAGGGGCTTCTGCAGTAAAGAATGTAAAGAAGAACTAACCAATCAATGGCAGCTGACCGTTACTGACTTTTCACTTACCAGCTGCATCTGCACGTGATTTCAAAAGTCAAATTCGTATAAATTGAGAATAGTTCACTCTTTATGTCTTAGTCTAAACGAACTTTGTCTCATTTTTGTGCCTCAATCACTTTTTGCTGCTCTACTGAGTCGACATCAATTATGATAGGAAAAGAGGTTCGTGTCTAGAAATGTTGCCGCATTTTTTAGCTTTTTCACTTACTCTCACAAAATGAATTAGTGTAATAGGAGAAATTTGACAAGCGTAGTTTCGTACTTTATCTTGACATCATTTACACAATGATGCCGTCGCTGTAATGCTAGTGGAAGCAACACCGAAGTAAAGGCTTTGACCATACATTACCTGTGTTACCTGTGTTACCAGTGTTACCAGCGCTACTCGTGTTACTAGTGTTACTTGTGTCACCGCTTTTATTGCTGTTGAGTAGTGAATTGATTAACACTACAGGCTCATTCTCTAGCACGAGTGACACTAGTAAGACTGGTAACACGATTAACACTAATAGCACCGGTAACACGAGTAACGCTAATAACACCGGTAACACACGGGTAACACCGGCAATATATGGTCAAAGTAAGGGACTTTCTTGTGAACGCTAACTCAACCTACAAGTGATTTATACAGCTTCTGAATCTATCATTCTTCTAATAGTTCCCAGCTGACCTATTTTAATTGAAGACCTTGCAAATCCTTGTCATAGATTTTGCACAACATAGTCACATACATTCAAATAAAAATCTAATCTAAAACTAATCTAAATTTACTTCCCATGCTTAGGTGAAACGAAACTTTTCGACTGTTCAATTTTTCAAAAACTGTCGAGATCGGTCGTGTTACTTGAGTCCTATAAAATAGAAATTAGAGGAGACATATTTCACTGATCCCTGATTTGAAGGTAATCGGCAGTGACAAGATGGGCTCCGAGTTCGAGAGTGTGGAAAGCACTCTGAAAGCACACATTACCGGAAGAGAATATGAAGAGGTTCGAAGAATACTTTATGGAAGGGCTCATCCGTAAGTTTGGATAGCTGAGCGAATCCGACAAAGTTCAATTTCTTTTTTTTTGCAGAGAACTGCCACTCCCAGATCAAGCACTGCAAATAGCTGCAAAGAATAATTTTGAAATGCAGGGCTATATTATTACTGCAAAGGAAGAGCAGCTGAGAGTTCCAAGAAAGGTATGTCATTACAGTACTTGGACCTGCTGAGTTGTACGATTTTAATGATTCAAATTACATGAATAACTAGGAATGATTATATATTTTGAGCCTCATACATGTTTAAATCTTTCTGCAGTATAAAAAGAGCACAATGACCAGGTTCGCGTCGCATGTATCCAAAATTCTATCGCACTTCCAACAACTGCTCCGATAGAAGACCAAAGAAAGGGAATCCATGCGAAAGTTTCCACGATGATTGAAGCAGCCGCTGCAGCAGGAACGAACATTTTGTGTTTGCAAGAAACATTCAGTAAGTATCGTGATTAATGCGAAAAATTCTGATTCCATCATTTTTTTCTAGTGATGCCATTCGCCTTCTGTACTCGTGAACGATTGCCGTGGACCGAGTTTGCCGAATCGGTAGAGAATGGACCCACAACGAAGTTGATGAGCGAGGTAAGGAGTTAAAATTAGCTTTTCACTTCTTTTGCTTGCCCTTATGCGAAAGTAATCAAGTAAAAACGGTGAAAATTAATGCAGTAAGAGTCTTTAAGAAAATTTGCAATTTTAAATCAGTCAATTACTAATGACGCTCCAATAAAGCCCTTTGTCATCTGTCTTAGATGTATAGTGTTGTTATTTGAGACTGGCATCGGAATTTCTTTTATAGGAAGAGCAAAATGCGCAGTTTAAGGAGATGAGCAAACCGTCCCTGTTTTAGCTAGCAGCCAAGTACAACATGGTTATCGTTTCTCCGATTCTCGAGAGAGATGAGGAGAAAGACGATGTGATTTGGAACGCAGCCATCGTCATCTCCAATACCGGAAAAGTTATTGGCAAAAGTCGAAAGAACCACATTCCTAGAGTCGGAGACTTTAATGAGGTACGGTTTGTTCTTGGTTCTGCTTCTACAATACTGAAAATGTACAAAAAAGAAAATTTTTCAAAACTGTTCGTTAAAAAATCTCTACTTTGCATGCTCCATGAGAAAAGGAGGTGCCTACTTGATGAATAAACATTAAACCCTTCTGTAGGTGAAAAGTGAACTTTCAAAGTGCACTTTTTTCACATTTGCATAGCATAAGAATTAAAAAACATAAATGCTTTACGCAAACCAAGTCGGACATTTGCAGTCAAACTACTACATGGAATCGACGCTAGGCCACCCCGTATTCCAAACTGCTTTTGGTAAGCATTCACTTGAAGTTTGATTCGGTTACTTTTTCAAGAAGAAATTCATGGTCTCAGATTGTCCATCAGCCAAGCATAATCAAAATTCAGGAAAAATTGCAATCAATATTTGTTACGGGCGTCACCACCCACAAAATTGGATGATGTTTGCACTCAATGGTGCAGAGATCATTTTCAATCCGTCCGCTACAACAGGAGATCTAAGGTAGGGTACATGAAAAAGAATTCATACTTTAAACGAACGAAACACATGTACAGCGAGCCTCTGTGGGGCATTGAAGCTCGTAACGCTGCGATCGCCAATCACTGCTACACCGTCGCCATCAATCGCGTAGGAACCGAAATATTCCCGCATGAGTTCACCTCTGGCAATGGGCTACCAGGTACGAAATTGAACTGAAGTGTCTTTGACTCGAGAACATAGGGCGGAGGGTGTCAACGTCTTGTCTTGCTCTTGAATTATGCTCGGACCCAACGAGCGCAAATCACTTTTAGAACAAGTGCTCTTGATGCGATGTTTAGAAAAAATTCAAATTCATAAAACACTCTTTCATCCCATACCTTTCTTCAGTTGTTCTTTGCAAAGTGTCAAGCACGATTTGAAATCATATGTCAGCGCACGATTGAACACTGAACACCAGGAAAGTTATGTCTCATGAGAGCGAGCATCACTGTTCAAGGAAACATTGATCGGGGCTCGGATCTAAAAGTTATCATTTTGGACTTGAAGAATCTTAGTGGAAACTTTGGACAGACACTCTGAAAATTCATTGCATCGTGAAGTGAAGCGTTTCTTCTGACTAGGGAACCTTCTTTCGATGGCCCTTTTAAGGGCCGGGCATACTTCACGCGATTTCAGTCGCGAGTGATTTGGCAACATTCCAACTGTCCATAACTCACTGTAAGCACATTTTAAATTTACAGAAGATAGGGCATTTCATCAACCCGCGTAAGTTATACACGCTATGCATGTGAAGTTTGCTTGTGTTGGATCTGAAGACTTCTGGCGAATTGCCAAATCGCGTGAAGTATGCCCGGCCCTTTAGACGGGATGTATACAGTAATCGAGAGCATGAAATGCTGATTGCAGATCTGCCTTCCTATTTGCCGAACGTTTGTAGAGGAGGAGTTATGAGTGTCTATGAAACAAAAAATTAAGTGCGCATCTAGGATAAAATCCGTTGTGCTAAAATCTTTCTAGCCTTCAAATAAAGCCACTAAATGTGGTATTTTTTATCTGAGGGTATTCATTGAATTAGAATTGTTCTAATAATTATCACAGCTCCATTAGAGCACTGGAAAGAATATTACGAGAATTTTTGTCCTACTTGCGCATATAATTTTTTTTACTCTAACAAAAGCTCATAACTTCATAACTTCCCGTTCATGAATGTTCCACAGATAGAAAATGCATGTTTGAAATCAGCCTTTTACGCTTTCCATTATGGCATACATTCCATGTTGAAAGGCGCCACTTTGACTAAACATGGTTGCCTTGCAAGCGCGCTTCACTCCGCCAAGGTGAATATGATTCGGAAAGTCCATAAAATATCAAAGAAGCACTTTGTTTTTGTTTCCATACCGATTTACGATCGGAAGACGACATGACGATGATAAGCGTGACAGAACAAATGTTATCTTTTCCAGCACACAAAGACTTCGGTCACTTCTTTGGAAGTAGTTACATCGCCGCCCCCGATGGCAGTAGAACCCCGGTAAGTGAGCTTTTATAGCTTTATCGCTTCGAATGCTCAAATTATTATTCTTGTCAGGCTCTCTCGAGAACCAAAGATGGCGTTCTCGTCACCGAACTAGATTTGAACCTATGCCGCCAAACAAAGGACAGTTGGTGCTTCAGAGTACGTTCACATGCATTATTTGTTTGTATGATGCGCTGCTTTTCTTTCTTACAAATTATCTAGTTAACGTACGTGTAATCTAATTATTTCAGATGACGCAGAGACTGGACATGTATGCGAAGCTACTGGAGAAGGCCGCTCGACCTGACTACAAGCCAGACATCAGAAAAGAGACTTAGATCAAAATTATTTGTGAATAAACCTATCTTGAGAGCTGCTTTTATAGTATCGCACAGGAAGGCCAAATTCATGTACATAATCGACCGATGTAATTACACAATAACTTGCACTTGGCTTCCGCAAGTGACAACCGCGTGCGCTATAGTAATCAAAGGCTAAATCACGATTCAACTTATGCAATATGCTGTGCGAGCAAAAGCATACTGCTTCATTGTCGAGGGAAGCTACTGTGCAAGCGGAGCCACAGATGTCCAGTCAAATCCTTCATTTTTGAAGCAAATAGCAAAAGGGGTATTATCTTAAAAGGTAAAATACATACGCTAACCCCTGCTCACCTCCAAATTGATGCATGAACAGCATGAGTAGCATAGCATGAAATAAAACATTCTTGATTATGCACTCAAGTATTCCTCTTCCATGCGGCTGGTTCATTGTGTTTTCTCGACTGTAGGCTGAGCTTAAACTTAGACAATTATTAAGAGCACACGCGGCCTTTAACGGTGCCTTTCGGCGGTGCGCGGGCGTTGAAATCTTGGACTGACCATCCGCGGCGCAAGATTTATTTGCTTGGCCATCCGCGGCTCAATATTATTGCTAGAAAAAGGCCGCGGTTTTTAAAAATTTTATCGGAACACACACGACCCAAGAAAAAAAAACTCTCGGGCGAGCCCCGGGCCTTACTGGACGCAGTTAGTTTTCGGGCAAGCCGCAGCCCTTCAGACCACGGCACGACAGTATCGTTCTAGCGAACCCCGCGTCGTGGTGGAAGCCATTCAATAACGCCAAAAGAGGAGCGCTACTCGCGTGAGATACGCCGCGGTGATAGCGCTACCCTGTTGGTCAAAGACAAGTAGTGTAAGTTAGTTCCTGGTCATTCGTGGTGTCTCGGACGAGCTCCACTGGAACACAGGGGTCTGCGGCATCGCGAGAGTCGGACGCGCGCACCCCCCGCGATCAAGGCCCTCATACTTGGTTTCGCAACCGGAGAGTATGTTGGAAACCTTGCTGTAGTAACTGTGGTGCAGGCCCTCATACTTGGTTTCGCAACCGGAGAGTATGTTGGAAACCTTGCTGTAGTAAATGTGGCTTTCATGAAAAGCCAAAGAATATGAACAGGTGTCCAAAAATCGTTTTGAAGTTGGGAATGATATGGATGAACTTTGTTTATCGGGTTGTATTGGGCCACCCGCGGGTGCATGTTGCGCATTTATTGGGCTCTTCCCGGAGCTATGGGCGTGGCGTCGCTCGTGGGTGGCCAGCGGGTGCTCGCCATAATTGTCCGTCAAGGAAACGATACTTGGTGTCCATGGCCTTTTGAGACGAAATATATACCATCACATTCGTCTTGGAACGCTGATTCCAAAACTGACTTTCGTTATGTTGATCATTTCGCTAAAAGAAACTATGAAAGATTTTCGCGTCACTGGTCGTCCAAGAGAAATACAGTCGAGGATTCCTTACCTTCAAAAGAAGCTTGATTGAGGCAACGCAGAACTGAAAAACGCCAAAGGAAACAAACCTAAATTTGCATTAACTTGTGAGGCTCTCGCACCACTATACCACTTTGTAGCGGCGGCTTTGGCATTCGACCATATTTTTGATGCAAAAATCCTTCATAACTTTTTTCAGAGAAAAGTTTAGCAAAAACAGAAACCAGATTCGGAATTAGCGCTCCAAGACGAGTGTAATGGTATTTTTGTCTCAAAAGGGCACGGACACCAGTATGTTTAGTACATAAGTATGTTTCCTTGTGAGAAGGCAGTGTCCGGGCCAAAAGTCGATTTTGAGATTTTGTGCTTACCCGGATCTATTCGCTATGCTGAATCCGAAAATCCACACTAGAGAGCGCAAAAGAGCTCCAAGGGTGATGGAAATCATCAAGGGGGAGGGATCTCCCCCACTGTGGGTTCACGCTCCCAGCTTCCCGATCGATGCCGCTTCCGATCTCAAGTCACGCGTTCGCGCTTGGCCGGTGGCGATTTCATGGCGGCTAGCGGGATTGAGAAGATCGTTCTGGAAGCTGGGAAGTGAATTCACCATGAGGAAGGTCCCGCGCTAATTTCCCTTCTGCGTCAGAGCCCTTTTTGCCATTTTCGTGCCTCCAATGATTTCGGAATGCATAGCGAATAGGTCGTCCGGGTAAGCACAAAATCTCAAAATCGACTTTTAGCGCGGACAATGCCTTTAAGCTACATGGTAAGCTTGTTTCTGTTTTGTTTTACTGTACTGCGACCAGACTGGCATCAGTTGGCATGGAGCAAGCTAGATGTTGTTTTTGGGACAGAAAGCAAAGGGGATATCGTTTTTTGACCGAAAACGAAAACCGCGACGTTTTTAGGCGACGTTTCGTTTTCTTAGGGTTTTTCTACGTTTAGGGTTTAGGATCAAAGTGAACTTCGTAGAACTTAGCAAAAATAAAGGAGACTTTGTTTTGAAAATTCCCTGCTGCAAGCTCGTGCCGAGGCCTATTGCTAACACTTCATTTTTTATGTATGGTACTCCTTGAGGGCAAGACGGAAATGAAAGTGAGACGAAATGCCCGAGTCGCTTAGTCCCCCCCCCCCCCTCCACCCTTCATTCCTGACCCTCCCCCCCCCCTTTCGTACTAGACTAATCGCTTTTTAGTAAACAAATATATTATAACTGATTCGTTACATTCTAATTACCGGGAATCTAGTCAAAAGCTGAATAATGTAGAAACACAGAATGAGGGCTCTGATGCCCAACAACTTGCTGTATACCCGCCATGGGGCCACGTAATCAGTACAGATGAATAGCATTGTTCAAAGCTGTGTTCAAACCAATCAAACATTAGCAAAAACTCCTGGAAATTTTATTTCGATATAATCTCCAAAGTCAAGTAAATCTGACAATGCCATTTCAAGACTCAATGTTTATGTGCTGATGTACCAGGGGCGGTATTTCTCAATTACATCTCATGCGTATTCCGGAACATACTGTGGAGAAGCACCAGCAGTGCGAGCGGGCGCATATCAAAAACGCCTGCTGACGTGAACTTTGCATATCGCGAACATATGAAAACTCATCGTTTTCCATTATCTTTCTCTTTTCTTCCAGTCCTCGAGCACAGTTTTTGCATTTATATGCACATTTAGTGATCCCATCAATAATTGTGAAGTATGATAGAGGTTGAGGTTATTTTTCAGAAAGTACTAGAAACGCCCAATTCGTTCTTAATACAAGTAAGTTTTTGAATATTTTGTATTGCAAGACAATTCATAGCTGTCGATAATAATAGAATAATTATCGACCACTATTTTACATTGTATATTATTCTTGTCGTTGACAAACCATCCTAGCGTGGAACACTTAAGCCGCCAAGGTCACCCCCCATTGCTGCTTGATAGCACACTTGGCGGCTATTACTTTCATGTAAGCATCAATAATTTTCGAGTGATACCTGTATGATACTATTGTTTGCCAGAAGGAAGCATCTAGGTTGCCACGCCCAAAATAGTGGCATAAATAGACCTGGATGCTCACTTCTGGACTCGTCTCGCCAAATCTATATTCCACTGGAATTGTTTCCCGAATAAATAATTTCTTCAACGTAGTGGCATCCAATATTGGTTAACACCAAATTGGTGCATCGGCCTACGGATCACTTTCTGGCGTTTGCTACCCAGGAAGCTGATAAAGTCCCGCGTGGCAGGATCATATACCACTAATTAATCGAAAACCTCTTGCGCGCTCTGTTCGTCAGAGACCAGAGGCTAGTAAAGACGTTAGTTGGTGATCATTTACCACTGAATATTGAACCCCACTTGCGCGCTCTTTTCGTAAGAGACCAGTGGGTAGTAAAGAAAACAGCCGGTATTAACCACTGTATATTGAAGCCCACTTGCGCGCTCTTTTCGTAAGAGACCAGTGGGTAGTAAAGAAAACAGTTGGTACTTTAGCTACTTGACAAATTGAAAACCCTCTTTGCGCGCTCTTTTCGTAAGAGACCAGAGGGCCGTAAAGGCGTCAATCAACAGTAGCTAACCACAGAATTTTCTGAACACTTTCCTAGCGCGTCCTTTTCGTAAGGAACCAGGAAGTGGGAAGAAATTTTTTGTGAAAACACCCAAATTCTAGTGAAACTCTCTTGCGCGTCCTTTTCGTAAGGAACCAGAGAGCGGAACAGTTTTGCGGTCAGAAGTCTCATAGTTCATTCAAGAACTGTTGAACTTCAAGGATTTCTCAATCCTATACTGGGCAAGGTCCAAACCTACCAGTCAGCACAGCGTTCAAGCTAACGGCACGCTTGCTAAGTAACTAGAAAAAGCTACGCACTCCACTGCTAAGCTCACTAGTGACTAGTTTTCTTGCACCCAGCAAGGAAAAATCCCATAGAGGTCCAGGCCCAGCCAACCTCCACAGTTCTCGACAGCTGCGAGTACTAAGTACCTAGCCAGAACTTCTACTACAAACAAATACCTGCAGTGCCAAAGCACGCAGCCAGCGAGAGCCGTAAGCGATAGAAGTCCATGCGCACCAGACAAACAATGACTGAGCTCGCAGGATTCAAAACACGCATCTCAGTGGCTTGCTCTTCAGTTAGCAGCCTCCAGAACAAAATCAGAGAGATAGATCAAGCCTTCAACTTTCCAACAACGGCATCGGAATGCAATGCCTTCGTCATAGATAAAATGACAGAAATTGAAGAAGCAGAAATCTCTCTAAAAGGCTTCTCGGAATACCTGGAAGCACAAATCCAAAACGCTATGAATTTTCTCGGACTAAGAAAAGACCAATCAGAAAGAGAAAGGCTTATGACCGATCTGGATGCATTTCTTTCTACTGAAGCAAATAAAGTGCAGATGGAAGCTATCAACTGGTTAAATAAGTTGAAATATCGGACGAGGGAACTGGAAAAACAGTCAAGCCTGATTCACGCTTTAGCATCGTCCTCGACGCGAACATCAGTACCGGACACTGATACGGATAGTTGTCTATCCACAAGACAACTCACTGAAAACAAAGTCCGATTACCAGTGCTTGAAGTCCCAACGTTTAGCGGAGGCTACAAAG